TGAAAAAAAAAAAAAAAAAAAAAAAAAAACAACCCAGAAAAATGAAGAAAAGAATGGATTTTGTCAATGGATTAACTTATTTAGTGGTTACAAGGAATTTTAAAAAACTAAAACCCACTGATTTTAAATTTATCAATCCTTTAATAATAATTCTTCAGTAAAAAAATTAGTTTTAAGTTTGGTACAAAAAGTCTGGAAATTGGTAGCAATTACTATAACATTACAGCTGAGCACTTTTAGGTAGCCCCACTTTTTTCAGGTACCACATACATGGCATCATCACCAGCTGGCTTCATTCAGTACCTTGCTTCTGTAGGCTTCTATCACTTTCATGACAAGTTGAATCTTTTTTCCCAAGTCATTCAAAGCTTTTGGTCTCTCTTCATGTTCCATGTATCTCACTTGAATAGGCTGGCCATATTTCTATTAACATAAGAAAATTTTTTAAACCTGAAAATTTTATTTGTCCCTTTCAAGATGACGAATAAGAGAAAATATTAAAATATGTCCCTTCTTCTTTCCCTACAAATAAGTGAGTTCCAGTGGCCATTTTCTTAGTCTTACATAGGAATGCCTAACTCACATATTTTTCTTTCTCTCATTTACATGATGACTTTTATTTGTTCTCAAATATTAAGTGCTAATCAAAACTTGAGTTTTTTCATAGCTTGGTACTAAAATTTTACAAAATTATTAGGAAAAGAAAGCCATAAGGATAACTACGCTACATATATAATTTATAGATTTAAATTTGGTTTCAAAATAATGTAATTATGTACACACCATGGTTACTGATGTACTGAATACCATTCATATATTTAATTACAAGATTAAAATATAGAGTATTAGACCTCTATTTATGCCTATAGTAGCCTGTGTGACTTTGGAGTGGGAAGCACATTAGAAGGATAATTTAATTTTCTTTTTAATACTCTATATACAGAGTATTCTCTTTGTGTATGTGTGTGTGTGTTCTTTTCCTTTTCTTTTTTTTTTTGGTACCTAGGATCAAACTCAGGACCTTATGCTAGTGAGGCAGGTGGCGGAACTACTGAGCTCAATCTCCGGCCCTCCATTATAAACTTCTGATCTTGGAAGATTTTTTTTTTTTAAGAGTGCAGAGAGGACTGTGAAACAGCATAGACAAAGGAGCCAAATGAAAATTGCCAAGTAGATTTTAAGATTTTTTCTTGAAAATCATACCAATGGCCTAGAGAAAGGGAATTTGGTGGTGAGGTAATCTGTATTTGTGAAAGAATATTTAAGGTACAATTTCTGAAATGGTCAGGTGTCTCCATCAGTTTATAATGTGAAAATACAGGCTGGGGCTCTGTGGTGCTGCCACCTGCTTTGCAAGCACAAGGTCCTGAGTTTGATCCCTGGTACTAAAATAAATAAATACATAAGTAAAATAATGTGAAAATACAATAGGCCTGTATGGCATTCCCAAAATCAGAATAGTGAAGGGTGACTTCTCTAACGGATAAGAAGTGGTCAAGTTGATAATTTATCGCCTCTTAAAGACATCTCAGTAATATAGAGCTTGTGTAAAAGTAATATTCTGGTTATTTGCTAAACATACCCAATATCACACTTATACATTATTTGTTATCACATAGCATTACTTTTCAAAATGTGAGAGCATTTCCTCACACACACACACACACACACACACACACATCTGACAGTAATTTCTTACATACTTATTAAAATACTTATCTAGCAATCCCACTACTAGGTATATATTCACAGTAAATGAAATTAGTACAATGAAGTGATATCTGCACTCCTATGTTCATTACAGCATTATTGATAACTGTAAAGGGGTGGAATCTCTTCATGAATGGATAAAGACAATGTACTATGTATATAAAACAGTATTAGAAAAGGGGAAAATCCTATCCTTCGAGACAACTTGAATTGAAACTGGAGGGTACTACTACAGTTAAGTGAAATATGCCAGACAAAAAAATAAGTAGTAACATGTCAAATGTAAAAAAGGTGAACTTATAAAAGTAGAGTTAAAAATGTTGACTACCAGTTAGGAGGGAGGAGTGGGGAGATGCTGATCAAGGGAAACAGTATTTCAGTTAGGAGAAATACAAGATATGTGTTATACAGCATGGCAACTACAGTTAATTGCATTACATATTTGAAAATTGCTAAGTAGATTTTAAGCATTTAAACCACCCCCTAAAAATACATGACATAATTCAAGCTACCATAATGTGTATCGAACCACATTGTACACCATAAATAAGTGCACTATTTACGGTGAGTTAAACAAAAATGAATTCTAAAAAAAATTCTGTGCTTTTATATCATCATTTTTAGGAATAATATATTTTATTCAACACTAACACAAGACTTTAAAAATTTACCTTTAGTTCTTGAAGCTTATCGACATAAACTTGTTTAGGTTGGTCCTCTCCTTCTTCATAAAGCCAAGTTTCTGTGTCTTCCAGTATTGCAGACAATTTATTCATGTCCTAATTATACATTTAAAAGACACTAATTACAAATCTTTCCTTAGAAGTAAAAATCATCAGGAAAGACAGGAATTTTTTCAAGTTAATTTACAGATTTTCTAGCTTCTTAGTCATAAGTACATTTCTCACCATACTTCTGCAATTTTGTAAAATAACAAAGCCATCCCAACAAGGGCTCGAAAACACTGACAACAACAAATATGATATAATATTAATATAATTCATAGTAGTTGTTGCCATCCCTCACCCAGGTTGTACTGGAGATCGAACCCAGGCATTTGTACTAAGCTACATCCTCAGCCCTTTCAAAATTTTTTTATTTTGAGACAGTCTAAGTTGCTCAGTCCTGGCTTCAACTAGTGATCCTCTTGCCTCTTACTAGCATTTTCAAACAAATGTTTAAATAGTTCTCACAAAAATTATGAAATTTACTTACCTCTGGAGTGATGAATTTTTCATAGACAGTGCTCAGTCTATCTCTAAAATCATATACATATTCTTCAACAGCATTTTTAGCATCGTTTCTTTCTTTCTCTAACTTATCCTGCATTAACATCTTCCCCTGTTCAAAAAGTTTCAGATGGTCATAAGAATATGCTTTAGAGTAATGCAAATCAAAACCATAATAAATACTTCATACCTATTAACGGGAATACATTTTTTAAAAATACTGTTTATGAAACCCTCATACATTGTTAATGGGTGTATTAAATGGAGCAGCCACCATGGAAACAGTTTTGAGGTTCCTTAAAAAGCTAAACATAGAATTGCAATTTCACTAATCGTTTTTTTTTTTTGTACAGGGAATCAAACTCAGGACCTTGCGCTTGCCAGGCAGGCGCAATGCCACTGAGCTACATCCCCAGACCCAATTGCACTACTGATCTGGCAAATACACTCACATACATACCCAAAGGAATTGAAAGCAAGGGACTCAAGCAGTTATTTTTATGACAATATTAAATGCAGTATTATTCACAACAGCCAAAACTAGAAACTGTCTACTCAGTAGGTGAGTGTATATAAAATACACACACACACACACACACACACACACACAATGGAGTACTGATCAGTCTTAAAAAGGAATGAAATTTGGACATATACTATACAATATGGGTGAATGCTGAAATCATTATGCCAAATGAAATAAGCCAGACACAAAAGGACTTAGGATTTTATAATTCAACACATACGAGTTGTCTAGACTAAGAAAGTTCCTAGAAGCAAAAGTAGAGTTTACCAAATACTGGGAGAAGAGAGGAAAGGGAATTATTAATGGTTACAAGGTCTGAGACAATGAAGTTGTTTTGAAAGAGTGATGATGGTTGCACAATACTGAATGTAATTAATGTCTCTGAATTGTACATTTAAAAGTGGTTTAAAATGGCAAATATGCTATCTATATGAAATATATTTTAAAATATAATAACCAAAAATTACTGGTCTGTATACTTTGTATTTTTGCAGTAGTAGGGAATCAAACCTAGGGCCTCATTCATGCTAGGCAAGCACTTCTCCCACTTGAGCTACATCCTCACCACTCTCCATTTAAAAGTTTTATGTTGAGACATAATCACTGAGTTGCCTAGGTTGGGTTCAAACTTATGATCCTCCTGCCTTAGTCTCCAGAGAGGCTGGGAATACAGGTATATGCCACTGTGCCCAGTGAACTATATACCGTACATGAGTTGTATATGTGAATGATATCTCATCATAGCTGTTAAACAAAACAAATGGAGACTACATTATTATACATACCTAAGTTCAAACCCTAGGTTATTTGCTCTAGCTTGAAAAACCAAGAAAGTTATGAAATATGTTTTCTTATCCTGAAAGTGTAATTCTACCTTCTAGGGCTGTTAAACTTGTAATTCATATAAAACAAACATAATTGGTGCTGAAGGCTACCCTTGAAGGGAGGGGATTTAGTATAGTGGTCTTGACCCTGATCTTTGGAGACTGATTATCTGGACCTGAAACCAAATGTTACTTTCTCTTTTTTTTTCCTGTACCTGGGTTTCAACTTAGGACCTTGTGCTTGCGAGGCAGGCACAGCACCAATGAGCTAAATGCCCAGCTCAAAGGTTACTGTCTGATTTTGGGTGATTTAGTATTGTTATACCTATTCTCTCAACTGTAAAATATAGATCTCTAACATTACCTATAATCTGGAGGTTTATTTTGAAGATTAAATAAAATATCAAAGCATTTAATAATGCTAGCAAAAATCGTTACAATGAAAAACAAACAAAAAAAACCAGAATCTGAAAAATATAATTCCTGATAAAAATACTCCCTTTAATAAAAAAATATATCTTAAATATTAAGAATCCTTTTATGAACTATAATGCATTGACATTTGTGAAAAATAAGACACTTTTTTTTTTGGTACGGGGATTGAACTCAGGTCCTTGCACTTGCACGGCAGGCCACAGAACCGCTGAGCTAAATCCCTGGCCCAAGAAGAATAAGACACTTTAAAAATGAGAACAAATGTCATTTCGCATAAAACATCTGCTCTACTGTCTTCCCCGCAAATGCATTCCTTTGAGAAAGTTGGGTCTTCAGATGTATGAGTTCAGAATCATTTCAGACCTCCAGGAATATTTGCTTTACATAAAATGTAGCTTTTAAATAACTAATAAACAGCTATGTAGGGAAGCTACTTAAAATGGAAGTAGTATAAAGTCAAAAATCTCCTCATAAAATAATGTACAGGAGATGGTAGACTAAGGGGCACTTCAAAGATTGACCTCTTAATCCCCGGTACCAAAAGAAAAAAAAAAAAAAAAACCAAACAAACAAACAAAAAAAGATTGATCTCTTAATGCCATCTAAGATTGCTGAAAGTAGAACATACCACTTTCATATAAATTTTAAACTAAACATAAATTATTTCTTACAGTTACTGGTAAAGAAATACAACTCATTTCTTTTAGAGCCTATAAAATTAAACATGGAAAAAGAAGAGACGTGTAAAAAATGTGAGAAATGATAACATTTTAAAAATACATAATGTAAGTCAAAAATATTTTGAATAGAGAGAGCCCTAACCTTTAAACACACACAATTAAAAAGAAAAAAAAGGTGGGCCTGGGATTAGAACAGTGGCACTGTGCCTGTCTCACAAGCACAAGGTCCTGAGTTCCATCCTTGGTACCACCAAAAAAAAAAAAGTTGCTAATATTTTCACATATGACATGATAGGTATTACTATTAGAATAAAAGGGAGTTAAGATTCACTTTGTTTTTATATGACTGAGATGAAAGCTACTGTATATGACATTAATTTAGGTCAGAGAATCTGCTTAATAATTTATTAGAAATTATGAGATAGTTTCCCAAATTCTGGAGCTATTAATTTGTACAACATATTACAATGTACAACACTACTTATTTCAACATCAACTCAGATTTATATACCTCATTTTCAATATAGCTGTTGATAAGATCTTGGCCCAGGTGTCTACACAGGCTACTATGGATAGGTAGATCAATGCTTTTGGCTTTTCCTTTTTTAATCGTCTGTTTTAATCGATCCTGTTTGTCTGAGGCAATTGGCTGCAAAAGAAATGTCAAAGAGAAGTGTTAATTTCTAAAACTAGCTCAAAAAATAAAACTTATTTTAAAGGTTAAAAAATGTCAAATAAAACTTCTATCATCTACTAAAATTTAAAATACTATTTTAATACTGATACATTCATGATAAATTCTTCCTATATAAAAGATTTTGGGTTGGAAATGGAATTCAAAATTGTTAACAGTCACAGGTAAGGATGTGGAGATATTGGTGCCCTCCTAAATTGTTAAGATTGTAAAACATTACAGCCATTTTTGAAAAGAGCCAGGAAGTTCCTCAAAGTGTTACCCAGAGATACCATGTGACTCTTAACAATTTCTAGGTATATGCTAAAAAAATAAACACCCATACACAAAAATTTGTACATGGTTGTTCTTAATAGTGTTATTCCTAGTTAAAAAAAACCCATTAACTAAGAAATAAACTGTGATATGCAATGCAGTATTATTAGGCCAAAACAAGAAATGAAATATTGATACATCTTAAAACCAGGATGAGGGCTGAAAACATAATGCTTAGTGAAAGAAGATGGCTACAAATATATATATAGAGATATATATATATATCTCTCTCTATATATCTCTGTATATATATTTGGGGGGAGGAGTTTTCTGAGACAGAGTCTTACTATATAGTTCAGGATGTCCTTGAATTCACAATGAAGCTGAGACAGGCCTTGAACTCACACAGCAAACCTCCTGCCTCAGTCTCTCAAGTGCTGGGATTATTGTTATGTACCACCATGCCTAGCCATAAATTTATGAAATGCCCAGTATAGACAAGTATAGAGGTAGAAAGTTGATTACTAGTTGCCTAGGGTTGGTAGAAAGAAGTTTTAGGGGAATGGAGAATTACTATTAATGAATATAAGGCTGTTATGGGGTGTGATGAAAATGCTCTAAAATTGTGATAGTTGCATAACTCATAATATACCAAAACTCACTGAATTACACATTTAAATGGTTAAATTCTATGATATGTAACTGTATCTCAAGGTGTTTAAACAAAAATTGAGTAAATTAAAAGCAAAAAAAAAATTGAGCAAAATGCAAATTTTACAGAAGCAAGTTTCAGGTTAAAAATAATTTTAGAAAAGAACAGGCAAGATATATCATGTACTGGTACAAATTCCCTATGATGAATGCTATCATTATGTATATCTAAAATGTACCAGCAGGTGGGGATTTAGGTCAGTGGCACCATGCCTGCCTCGCAAGCGCAAGGTTCTGAGTTCGATCCCCTGTTAAAAAAAAAAAAAAAAAAA